AGGGATCCAAGACCTTGTATCGACTATAGAAAATTGAATAAATTGACTAAAACTCAATTCTTCCCCTTGCCTAACATCGAACAACGAGTAGAAACGGTAGCAGGCGCAAAATATATAACTCTTTTGGATTTAACAAAGGGATACTGGCAAATACCTTTAACACCTAATGTTCAAAGATTAGCCACTTTTGTTACAAGTTTTGGCACATTTAGACCTCTACGGATGCCTTTCGTACTTAAAAATGCACCATTTTCATTTAGTAAAATGATGGCCGAAATCCTTCACGGTTGTGAAAAGTTTGCTGTTCCATATTTATATGACGTGGCAATCTTTTCAAACACCTGGGAAGAACATCTAAGTCACCTGAAAGCCGTTTTGTCCAAAACAAAGGACGCTGGTTTAACTATTAAACCAATAAAATGTAAATTTGCTCAAGATAGAGTAAAATATCTAGGACATATTGTAGGTCGTGGTATAAGAATGCCAAGTGAAGTGAAAGTAAAAGCTATTCTTGATTTTCCAGTGCCATCCACAAAAAGTCAAGTCAGAGCATTTTTAGGATTAGCGGGATATTATAATCATTACATTCCCATGTTCTCATCTATCGCAGCACCTTTAACAGAAACTTTGAAAGGAAACTTAAAGAAAGGGAAAATAAATTGGACAGAAGAGTGCACAAAAGCATTTGAAGAGCTAAAGGAGAAACTGTCTCAAAGGCCTATACTACATGCACCTGATTTCAAAAAGGAGTTTATTTTGCAAACTGATGCTTCAAACTCTGTTATGGGTGTCATTTTAGCCCAAAAAGATGAACGAGACAATGAACATCCAGTATTATACCTCAGTAAGAAGTTTACAGAAACTGAAAAAAGTACTCTACCATAGAAAAGGAATGCGCCGCCATAATATTTGCTGTAAAGAAACTTCAATGTTATTTAGACGGGCATACTAAATTCCTCATCATGACCGATCATAATCCCTTAGTTTGGCTAAAAATAATGTGAGTCTAAATCCACGACTTATGAGATGGGCACTAGTACTACAACCCTGCAATTACACGATCGTTCATCGAAGTTGTAAAAACCATAAAAATGTAGACGCATTAAGTCGTACTCCCTGGCCTGATTAAATAATTTATTTCTCTATATAGATAAAAAAAATATTTTGTTCCTTCCTCTCTTCCTCAGTGTATGTTATTATGTTATATCTTGTATTTCAATTCTGTATTGTGCTGATATTGTTGTTTTGAAAAAAAAAAAGTAAACTTTAATTTATAAAAATATAAATTAAAGTTTATCTGGAGGGGGAAGAGGTTGTAATATCTTGTAATTTAATAAATAAATATAATTATTGTTGAGAAAATTTTGCCACTTAAGAATTGTATAAAATTTGTCTATCACCGTGAACTAGAAATAAAATTTATGTTCTACTAAGAAGATTGTCAGTTTTGTAAATTACTGCAAAATACATTACAGTATCAATATTTTTATGTATCATATATCTAAGCAATAGATAAAGGTGGACGTGGCGCTATACCGATTAACCGTATCGGCAGAGGGGTGGGGCCCACGTCCTCCGTCGTATATCGCATGTAGATAAATATTTGAATGCTCGAATGTATGATGATAATAGTTGAATGAATATACGTGAATGATAAATATATGCTAATTTTATGTTTTACTTTCCCTTCTTTCTTGACTGGGGAAGAAGTTTAATTTAATGAGTGGATCGCTGCGAGCCTTTAATACGATGCAATGAGAGCACAAAATATGTGTATACCTACTTAATATTATCTCGAAAATCCCAAGCATATTCATACTTTGTAAAATACACAAATTTAAAACAAATCGTCGTATTTTAACTAACTGTGTTTTACTACTTGATAATCGTAACTTTAACACATTCGTATTTATGTAACTACGAAAGCAACCTAGATGTTCAAGACTCAAGCAATACCTTATCTTCTGAAGTGTTCGCAACTTTTAGAGTCATAATTAAGTGTTTGTGATTGAGTTATAAGACAAGGAAATGAACAAAATGCAGTTTTTTTATATTCTCCATTTCGTATAATATTAGACTGTTAAAATGAAAAATGTAATCCATTATATGTAGGGTTTTAATCGTTATTATTACGCTTGTTATGACTAAAGATGGCATCACATCTACAAGCTACTCTCAACACATCGTCGAAAGAAACATTGGATCTTTCGCTTCCGGGATATCAACTTGTTTGACTTATGCGAAATTCAGTTCTTTGGGGAAACCCTAAGACTAGCAAAACTAAGCGAAAGACTTTCGGTTCAGTTGCTAAATGTCTAGCGTAGCTGGCCTAGACATTGGTTCCAGAGAAAATTTTCTGCCAGTAACTCTCTAATACTAAGATGTCAGTCGATCTCAAAAGTGCTTTTGACACGTTGTGGTGGCCGGCAATCCTACGGGCACTAAGGAACTCACGCTGTCCACGGAATATCTATCGGACACTGGAGAACTATCTCGCAGAACGAAAACTAATTCTGCAGCATAATAGTGGCATACTACAAAATAATCAAACAAGGGGATGTCAGCAGGGTTCCTGCGCGGGACCCTTCCTATGGAACTTAACGTACAATAGTATACTTACACAGTCGTGGCCAAGTCACGCGAAAATAGTTGCATATGCCGATGACACGGCACTAATAGTACAAGGCCCCACTAGAGAGCAATTGCAGAGAAACTGCTAAGAATCCTGCGACCTCTTTCAGGAGCGATGTGCAACGCTGAAGTTGACGATTGCCGAAGAAAAATCCCAAGTTTTATTGATTCCAAAAAAGGGAGGCTCCCTAACGCGACAACCACGCATCACGCTCAATGGGAAACGACTTGCAATCAAGAGAGAACTCAAATACTTGAGAATAATATTTGGTGACAAACTGAATTGGATAGCGCATGTGCTCTCCCTAAAACAGCGCACAGCAAGCATCGCTCAGCAGCTCAAGATGATGAAAGGATATCGCTGGGGTCTCAACCCCCATATCCTCAAGATCCTCTATAACACCGTCACTGAGAAGATCGTGACGTATGGAGCAGCTGTCTGGGCCTTACCGTTGCAGGGCAGAACAGTAAAGCATTTGCAAAGCATCCAACGGCCGTTTTTATTAAATATCACGAGAGCATTCAGAACTTCCCCGACCAATGCACTGGCAGTCTTGGCTGGCATACTACCCTTGTCCATTAGTGTCGAGAAGGAAGCTACGTACCAGATAGTCAAGCAACTCGGCCAAACAATGCAATTTGGAGAAGAGGTATTTACTGCAGATAACCTCGAAAGAACAGTCATCAGCCTTGACAGGCACCCGTCTTTGCAAGGACGGGGTGTTAATGTCAACCTAAAGCAGACCACAAGATCCACGAACATAGATGTTACCTATTATACGGATGGATCTAAAATAGACGACAGTGTGGGCTGTGCATATGCAGCACTTAAAGAGGGTAGAATAGTAAGCCAATGGAAGGGGCATCTGGAAGCGCACAATAGTGTCTTCCAAAGCGAGGCCACAGCTATAAGCTAGGCACTGCAAGCGATAATTCAGCAGAGGCTATACAATAGTTACATAATAACAGACAGCCTGTCTACGTTATGCGCCATTCTTAACCACACCATCAGTTCTCCAATAATAGCAGCTATTCAGGAATACCTCCGTGCTCATAAAGAATTAAAAATTAATCTAGAATGGACGACAGCCCATATCGGGAATCATGGTAATGAGACTGCAGATCGGCTTGCAAAAGAAGCAGCCCATAACGTCGAAGCAGTCCCAGTACAAATCCCATGGCCGGTTTCACATTTAAAACCGAATCTGCGCGCCACAGCTCTAGCACTCTGGCAGGCTGCGTGGGACAACGAAGATACAGGCCGCCGAGCGCATACATTTCTGCCTAAAGTAGATAGGGAACTACTGGTTGCACGGCCACAAATGGTGTATAACATCACAGGGCATGGGCCCTTTCCAGTATATTTTGAGAGATTTGGAATCTCCAATTCGGATCAGTGCTGCTGCGGCGATCTGGGCACAGCAGAACACTACGTTCATGAATGTCCTCTCACGGAGGGAATGCACATTCCGTTCCCGCAGACGAACAGGGAGGCATTCAACAGATTTATGGTCAAGCAGCGACACCAGACCAACAAAATTACTCATATACTTGATAAGCTAATGGACATGGGTCCAGACTTATGCCATGTGTAAATATAACTGGTCAGTATGCCAGCAAATTTCAATGTAAATCAGTATCATTCAAGCATAAGTAATCTAGGTATGTCTGCGATGTGTGTATATAGTGTGGGCAAGCGTGTCCTAATGTATGTTATTATTATTATTATTATTATTATTATTATTATATTTTTTTTTTTTTTTTTTATTTTTTTTTATTGTGCTAAGTGTATATACTAGCTCTGTCTTATTATTCCAAAGCAAATTAAGGTAATGTCATGTAGGTATTTAGAAAGTATATGTATGTAACAGTGCTGGATTGCATGTCAGCAAATATGTATTAACAGAAGCATGTAAATAACTACTAATGTATATCTGCCCTTGTTTAGCCATGTACAATGCTATTCTTGAAGATTCAAAATCACTGGACCCGGGCACTTTGGACGGGTGTCTACCCGGTGGCATTTGGTTCGCGGAACTGCCAACCGGATGGTCCAGGCGTTGGGTTTGGGCACGCCTTGTGCAAGCCTCCCATGTGGCCTCTCTGGCTTTACTCTATATAAGGGCGGACGTGGCTTTATATGCTAATTAACTTAATAGTAAAGGGGTGGTGGCTACGTCTTCCGTGACTATCACTATCACTAATACTAAGAGTATTAAAAGCGTGTTTCTCAAAAATGTTTCTCCTAGCGTCACACGTCTCTGGGTTGATAACACCATAAAAATTACATATAATCTATACTATAATGAATATTGTATGCTCCTCATCTGCTAAAATATTGTCTTACCATTATACCTTTCCTGTTACAGAGTGTCATTTTTCACGTAGAGAGCCATCCGGATTACCCACAGTTTCTCCAATGTGTCAGCTTCAATTTCTTCCCCACCGTCTACCACAAAATGGCGTATAATATCTTCTGCCTACTGGCTCTTTACGGGGTGCCTTTGCTCATTATCATAGTCTGCTACTCTAGAATACTTTGGGAAATTTCCAGAAGATCCAGAGACTCTGATGGTAAGTTCCAAGATAGTGAAAAATTCTTATAAAAACATAGTGTCTACATATATAAGGTAGCTGCTTATAAAACCTCATATATGTATTTCTGCTTTGTATAAACCTGTTATGTGTGAAACATAGTTATTGTTTTATTGTTTTTAGAATGTGTCAGTTTATATAGCTTACTTTTAATCATGATTATCAGTGAGCATATTAGCTGTAAAATGTTAAATGCAATCCTCTTGCAACATTTTGTTCTCTTAGTGCTTACTAATTGATTAACCAACTACTGGATAAGAAATGGCATAAATTAAAATATGCGAGCAAAATGTAATAAAAATGCATATTATGTTACAGCTTTTATTTAAAGATATTAAGCACTTTTCCAATACAATCAATATGTTTAGAAAGGAATATTATGGTCTATATATTATAATAATATTTTAGAGATATTAGGTTATTTCGAAGCAGGAGACGTGAAAACTGAGCAATGCTTTCGCCGGGAATCGAACCACGGACCTCTCGAATTCGCGTCGAGCGTGCTGACTACTACACCACGATGGCATGCTAAGAAGACAGGAGAAATACCTTATATACTCCTCCTTTTAAAGGGCGACTGGGGAGTTTAGGGGACCCAATCACCAAATCCTGGTGGTGAAGAATCATTATTAACCACCTATTTTAGTTCGGGCGCCACTGTAGAGACATTAGGTTATTTCGAAGCGGGAGACGTGCAAAATAAGCAATGCTCTCGCCGGCAATTGAACCAGGGACCTCTAGATTTCGCGTCGAGCGTGCTGACTACTACAGCATGAAGGCATGTTAAGAAGGTGGGAAAAATAACTTATAATATAAATAAAATGATTAGATTTTTTTTCTAGAGCAGATTTCGAAACTTGGAAGCCCTACTTCCAAACTAAGTTCACTTGAAGTTCGAGGTTTGAATTTTAAATCATATGCTTTAATTTTCTTCATGGGTTGTGAAAATATGTTAAATTTTTGACATTTGTAGTATTCCTACTAACAGTGACGTTATTTTGCCTCCGCAGAATATCAAATTGTACAACATCGCGATTTTGTTTTATAACTTTTAGGAAAGAAGGCGCAAAATGTGAAAAAAATCCGATGTGAAAAAAACTGTTTGGAATTTCTCGATCATGAAAAGGAGTGATGATCGTAGAAAACTGATATTACCATCTTAAAACAGACTTAAAATTTCGTTTCATCACTGCATTTGAATAATGAAAATTTTCACAACTTTTTAAAAAACAAAGATTTTTTTAAAAATTAACTTATCGGATATGTGTGCTCATGAATTATTCACTTCGGCAATAAGCCAATATTGCATGTTTCGTCATTGAGAGAAGTAATCTGCATGTGACATCATCCGAAATGAAAAATTTAAATGGTCGAAAACTTCTTAGTTAATTGGAAATTTTTGTCTACCAGGATTTCAAAACACTGTGGTATGTTTGCATGCGAATGTGCATCTCTAACATCTTACTTTATACTCTATTTTCTTATTCGTTTTTGCATACTCATATTTATCATTTATTTCTTTATTTTTCAGCAACAGCTTCAATGTTTCCTGCTATTGAACTAATGGTTCTATTTAATTATAGGCAGAAAACATTATTGTTGGTTTTCTTTCTAGGCGTTTGACTTTAGGTTCTTTTTAATCCTTTAAATCTTTTTCTAAGGCATTTTTTAAAATTTATACCAGTTATGCATACTATGTGGAAGGTTAGTCACGCAAGCACTCTAATTATTCCGTATTATTTCCCTTATGTTGGTTTAATATACTACAATAAATAAAATAAATTGATAAATCAATTCTTCCTTTTCTTTCATAGAAGAATTCTTTCTTAGACTTTCTTTTAAGAAATTATTAATGAAGAATTTCTTCTGTTTCATTAGTAAATTTTTAAATAGCCATTTTTTTAAACAGCATGTTAATGATCTATTACAATGAAGAAAAGAAGGTATGCATTATGAGGATAAAAATAACAAACATTTTAAAATGTTTTTTGAAATATTAACTGCTATTTCTTAGTATTTGGATGATGAAATTATTTTGCACTTTCCTTCAAGTATTTAGATTTGTACGCTGTCAATTCAGTGTATTGCAATGATTATAGTTATATGTTGCTCAATATCTGACATCGTATTTATTTTCCGAATACTTCTATGTAAATTTTAGTACCTTATTATATCAAACAGACACTTTTAATTTAGCTGAAGCGTAGACGATAATTTACAAAAATGTCCATATATGATAGCACAAACTACATTTTTTTGCATTGTATAACGTTTGTTGTGTTTTGCAATCATTCAAACTCTTTGATGAACGTAAACAAATTATCACTAAACCAACCGCAACTTTAGAAGGGTTTAAAGAAGACCCTTTATTCAAAACTAAATAAGAACAGAAGACACACTTGGTAATTATAATTCATCCAATCACTTGTGGCAAGATGACTTAAAGTAACAATGAGTAAAATGTAAAATTTAATTTCAATAAGCTATTAGCCAAAGGCTACACAGATCAATTAAGGCGGAGATGGCACAAATTTAACCGGCGTGGATATACAACTGCCGGCAATTATAATGCAAGGCAGAAGACTGAAAATTGTATCTTATCTGGCTGCCTAGTAACGTGACCTCCAGAGGTAGAATACGCTCTGCCTTACCATCTAAAATCCTGTCTTAAGTACATTAAGACTACTTTGTATTCTGGCTGGGAAAAGCAAGGGAGAAATATGGTTAAAGATACAAAGCACAAAATAGCTCCCCACTAGAATTTAAGTAACTGCTTTAAACATCTTAACGACCTTGTTAATATCTTAAATTTTAAACAAACTCAAAATACCTCCCCGCCAGAATTGAAGTAATCTCAATGAAAGTCTTAACAACCTCCGTAATATCTTAAATTTTAAGCTAAAGAACAGAAGAAAATTTACAGTCAAAGGTAAAATTAAAGTTTACAGACCATGATCATCATGGAACGGTAATTTCATTGCATCCAAAAAATATCTTCATTAGCAAAACATATTAAGTATTCAATTTCTATTTCACTTCATCAAAATTTTAGTACACTTTGCAATTATTATACAATTATTTTTTCACCACCTTTGCTCTCTCCAGCAAAATGTGCTGAATGGAAAAGCGTTTGTTATTGTACAAGTATTTTAACACTAACACCTGACCGAAAGGTGTCTGCCGAAAACATCGTAGCAAAAACATCGCGGACGAAAACGTCGCGGAGAAAACAACGCAAGGCGAAAACGTCGTAGTACAAAACATCGCGGGAGAAAATAAAGCAAAGAGAAAACATCGCAGTTCTGAAATATCGTGGTACAAAATATCGCAGTCGAAAATAAAGCAGTTCAAAAACTTCGCAATTTAAAAACATCGTCGTCAAAAATATCGTGATAAAATGTAAAGTATCTACAAATCATCGCATGACGATAACATCGCAGATGTACGTTTTTAAGACATGCTTTAATAATTGTAAAAGAATACTCGCATAATGATTCGTGAGTGCAAGATGGAAAGACGAATAATATTTACTTTCATATTTGTATTAACTAATAAATATCTGCTGAAACTGTAATATGGAAATTTAAGCATAGGAAATTAATGCAATCTATAGCACTTAATAAAATTTTAAACTGACATAGTTAACTAACAAAGGTCATTAATAAATTATTTTTTATAAAGTTTTACTGGTAATTTTTCATGAAAAGTATAATCTGAAAAAGAAAGATAGTAGCTGCATGACCTTATCCATAAAAAAAAATTGCGAATTTAATTATGAGATTACTTTCTTCACTTTTGTTAATGTGATACTCTTGCAGTGAAAATTATTTCTTGTTCTCCTTAAATTTCTTGTTCTGCTTTTTTTTCTTTACATTTATTAGTTAAAAAATATGAAAGTAAAAATGACCCTTCTTTCCATCTTGTGCTCACAAATAATTACGCGAATATCCATTCTATAATTATTAAAACGCATGTCTGCGATGTTATCGTCATGCGATGATTTGTAGGCACTTTATTTTTTACCAAGATATTTTCAAGGACGATGATTTTAAACTGCGAAGATTTTGAACTGCTTTATTTTCGACTACGATATTTTGTACCAAGATGTTTTAGAACTATTTGCTTTATTTTCTCCCGCGATGTTTTGTACCACTACGTTTTCGCCTTTCGTTGTTTTTCCGCGACGTTTTCGTCCGCGATGTTTTCGGCTGTAACTGACCAGAAACCTAGATACTAATAACTTACGCACACTAGACATCAAGAATATCTTAAATTCAAGACTATTTCTAATACGTTAAACAAACTAGTTCATTAAACTTTGGCTGGAGAGCTAAATTTTAATTCCTTTCATACATACCACTAAGTTTTGCTTTACTTTGGTAGCCTGCCTCTTAAACATTCCACTAACATATCAAGAATTCAACTTTTAAAAGTGCGCAAGAACTACATTTACCTTTCACAAATAGCTTTATTTAACACATAATACATTCACATAATCCACATATAGCTTTAACACATAATACATTCTTCTAAATTAAAAAAATAATCTGGACATCTCAGACAATATATCTATATCTATATCTATATCTATCTATCTATCTATCTATATCTATATCTATCTATATCTATATCTATCTATCTATCTATATATATATATATAGTTTACAGTAAACCACAGAAGGAAAGTGTCTATAACATATAATGTAAATAGCAATTATGCGTTAAGTAATTAAATTTAATGTAACCCACACAGTAAACAGTTCAGTTGGTGTAAAACTAACTATTGAAAGGACAGGCATTGCTCAGTTAAGTAAAATGCTTCACATTTATTTAGCGAAAAAAAGAAAACAAAAGTTACACAATCTGGTTACAATTTTAACAGGGCGCAATACACTTAATTTAGTAAAGAAAAAAGAAACTTAAGACCTACTTTTGGTTTTTCATTTAATTTGGAATTTGTCAACAGTATTCAATTAATA